GAGTTCTGAGGAAGGGTCACCGGACCCGAAACGTTAACTCTGTTTTCTCCTCCACAGATGCTGCCAGACCTGCTGAGCTTTTCCAGCAACTTTGTTTTTGGGCCTAGGACACTACCCTGAGGATCTCCTGCACAGATGCCTTGGAGCTGAGATAACTGACCTCCAATAACCACAACCATCTTCCTGTTTGCCGGGTATGACTAACCAGTGGAGAGTTTTCCCCAATTCCCACTGATTCCTGTTTTGCTAGGGCTCCTTGATGCCCCACTAGGTCAAACGTGGACTTGATGTCAGGGGTTGTAACTTTCACCTCACCTTTAGAATTCAGCTCATTTGTTCATGTTTGAACCAAATCTGTAATGAGGTCAGGAGCTTCCTGACTGTATGCAAACTGGGCTGGCGTCAGATAACTAAATAGACTACTCTGGGTTTCTCTACGGCTGAATCACCTACTTGAAATGATCAATCCTTAAAGCGAGGCAGAGTTACTTTTGCTACTGCCGGACTTGGATATATTAACATTTCTAAATTGGCAGCAGCCAAATCCTTATATTTCCTCATTAACAGCACAGAGGAAATACCTTTACGACATCAACTATTGTGGTTCAAGGAGGCAGCACAATGCTCTTGAAAGCAAGAATGGATTGCTTTATAACAACAATGCCACATACAATTACCATAGTAAAAAGAAAATTGTGAAAATAGTTCAAGGAGGACACATAATGAACGCAGCAAAAGTTAAATCAAGGAGTGATATCGCCAAGTTATTTATGTTAAGAATGATCAATGTCTGGAAATAAATTCTTTGACAGAGAAGTAGAGGTGATCGTACAAAATATTCCAGAGACAGACTTGGATTCAGACAACACATTTCACAATCAGAGGATATCTTAAAGCACTTTACAGCTAATGATGCATTTTTGAAGCTTGGTCACTGGTGTAATTTAAGCGACGAGGCTGCCAAACTATACACAGAAGAGCTTCCACAAACAGCAATATGATAAAATCCAGATAATGGGAGCTGGTAGTATAGTGGCTATGTCACTGGGTTAGTGATCCAGGTTATTGATGTGAGGACATGGGTCCTCAGATGGGCCCAAATGGCAGATGTGAAGTTTGAATTCAATAACATAACCAGGAAAATAAACAAATCTAATGGTGACCATGTAGTTCACCACTATCAACTGTTGTTAAAAGAAAATCTGATTTACTAATGCCTTTTAGGGAAGGAAATCTGCTGTCATCATCTGGTCTGGCCCACAAGATTCCAGACCTATAGCAACGTGGTTGACTCTTAACTTACCTCTGAAATGATCTAGCGAGCCACTCAGTGGAATGGCAATTACAGATGGCCATCTAACTGGTTCGCAAGACAACTCTGATTACCAAAGTGTTATCACAGAGGAAGCAAAAGGCTCTCTACTCGTCAACTTAAATTGCAGCTCCACTGACACTCTCCTCATCAAACAAATACTCCCAGGACCAGTACAAGACGAGGACAGATACAAGGTAAAGCTTCCTCTACTCTTCTAAAATGCAAGCAAACTGAAAGTAAAGCTCATTTAACACTGTCTCCATCAAACACTCCCAGGACAAGAACAACATGGAGTAAGATACGGAGTAATGGGGTAAGGTACAGAGAAAGATCCCTCAACTCTTTCAATAGGAAAGCTAAAAAAAAAAGTTCAAAACATCTACTGCTGGGGCACTGTATCAAATAACAAATTAACAGTTGAACAGAATCTTTTATACAACGTCTTAGTAAATTCAAATAATATCATGCGGGATGACGATGCCCAACAGTCTCTAAAGATCTCTATCATGCTGGTGCGCACTGCATGTTCTTCTCCAGGGACATCCCAGCATGGCGCAAATGCAAAAGAGAGGCAGAAAGTCCTTTCCATGGCTAACTGCCTGGACCTGTTAATGGCCATCTAGCCAGGCCCATAAGAAGCCCTTCTGACTTGTCTGCCCCTCCCCGCATGGATCAGGAATGTGGAGCAGAAGTGCAACCAAAATTTAAGAAGTAACCCCTTCAAAAGACTAGCATGTTCCTTTAATCAGTCACTATCTCACTGAAGGGCAGAGCAGGCTCAAGGATCAAATAGATTTTCTTGCTCCAAATTCATATGTTGCTTGCAATAGGCAAACTACAGATCATGTTCAAAATAAAATCTGAAACAAAGCATCCACTGCGAGATATAGTTCCATAGTTGAGCAGCGCTTACTGACCAGTCCTGAGCAACATTAGCCCTCAGGTGCATGGCTGCACCCCTTCAACAGTCTGCACACAGCAACTGGCGTGCTGATACCATTCCCAGCATTCATGTCCAGTTTTGGTAGTCTCCGCCATGCAAGGACCTTGGAGTACCGTGCAGCAGAAAATTACAGGCAATGTAGATCCTGAGTGAAAAACAACAATGCTAACAACCAATATCAGATAATTCCATAACTCATTTACACATTCCAGAAGCAACATACATTCACACGCAGGGACACAGGCACTATAAACTCTGAAAATATGAGCACGCCTTGCACGCTTGTTCAATTATCCAGGGGTCCGGGGTGCCCATAGCTCCTAACGCCTTTCTCTGTGGCATTGCTGGGTCAGAATAGAATTGCCAAACAATTAGCACTCATTTTCCTCAGCAACATAAACTGTTGGGAACTTTTGAAATTTTGCGTTCTGGCATTTGTCCTGATGGAAAAGTTTCAGCAACATGTCTCACTTTTCAGCGCCGTAGCAGTTCTGTACCATCAACTAAGTGATTATTCGTTGTCAGCCGAAGTTTCTAAAAGAAATCCAGCTGTTTACATTTCACGGCACAACAATACTATAATTTATAATTCCTGAGATATACTCCCTGATAGAAATGGGTGACTGCATGAGGCCCCAGAGCTGTAGGTCAAAAAGCACTATCGTATGATTGCTCCAATTAACAGGCTGCTTATATGCCTACAAAATAAATCCTACACTTTAATAACTGAACCTTTAACTCTAAAAGATACAAATGATTGATAGGCGATGAAAGTTTCTATTTGGTTACAGTGGACTGAATTTCACAAGTGTTACAACTGGAATACGAAGCATTGGTAAATTCTGCTGAAGAACTGTTATATCATTGATGTAATAAGCAAACAATTAATTTAATAAGGTCAAAAATCATCCTAAATTTCTTTACTCATCTTCCACTAAATTAAGCAAATATGAAAAGAATTATTAGAATGGTGGCTCACTCATATTGAAACTGTAGTTGATTTTGCATAACTATAGACCAATACTTGTAGACAACTAAGCATACACTGTCATTACAGAAATGCAAAATGCACTTCTAGTACTTAAACTGTACCGACAATTTCATCCAAAATTGAAACAATAAAAAGCAGAAATGAAAAAAGTTTAAAAGATAAACCATTTATGAATATTATCTTTCACTTTGTCAAGCTCACGCAATTCTTAATACCAACTGCTGTACATTTCACAAGAATAAATTTTAAGAGGATCAGATATCAGTCACCCTGCTTGAAACCACTAATGATTTTCAAATAACCCATGTGGAGTTTCAAAGAATCTGTTGACAAATATGCTTGAGAAAATTCTGACCTCTATTACTGTAGAATCCTGTGACGTTGGCTTTTGTTTCTTGACTTTTTGTTGCAAGTTCTTCTGTGGCACCCTCACTCCAGGTGAACTTTGAAGGTTAGGTGCACTTTGAGCAGTCTGTTTCATGCGTGAAGAGGTTACAATCGAGGCTGTAGGTTTTGTGCAGGAAATGGATGTAGTTTGAGCAGCAGGAGCTGACAAAGGGCGATGGTGTCTTACAGTACTGTTATGAGGAGCAATAGGCAATTCACGAAGATTGCTATTTCGTTGAACAGATGTTTGAAATTGATTTGGTAGCTTATTCATGTTTTGAATTCCAGGTATATTCTGCAGATTAAAAAAAATAATTTGTACTTCAAATGGAAGCTGATCACATCAGTTAAAGAATATAACTTTTAAAAAATCCATATTTAAACAAAGACTGAGCAAGTTGAATTTGTGAATAAAAACTTGATAAACAGCAGCTTTCCAGAAACATTTTCAAGCATCTAATTTAATAATTTGATTGTGCAGTAGTAGTATTGGAGACTAGAGCATTAATACACCATAAGCTGTATCACTGAAGATTCTGGACAGAAGACTCCACAGTTGATTCCTTTCTCAACGTTGAATTAACTAATCTCAGCAAGACGAAAACTTACAATTCTACAATTCAGCACGAGGAAACAGAAAAATTATCATCAGCAGGATAAAGTCATTTAGGGCTCTTAAGTCAATCAACCCAATTTTCACCTCTCCCACACACTGCTCCAACCTACTAGAGAGGGAGCAATGGAGAGTGGGTTAAAATCGATTCCACATACTTATTAAACTCACAAATGAGAATTTGTATTTGTGACTCTGCACCCCAAGATAGATTTCGAGCCTTCATGCAAGGGGAGAAATTTGGAGAGAACCTGAAGGGATAGGAACATAAAACTGATGCCAAAAAGTGATTTGTTAACTGGAGGCAATTTAACTTTATGCTTCAAAGAAACATTTTCAATGATAGAAGGCAAATATTGCAATTTGAATATAAATGTTTAACTGCCTTTATGAAAAGAGCTTAATACAAGAGATTTTAAAACAAATAATTTAGCAACTTTTTTGGTAAGGATAGTACCATTTCCAGACAGATTGTTGGTATTAATAGAAAACAATTTAAATGAGTATTTTTTCCACAGGCATTGAGACCACACAGCGTGCATTGGAGTGGTAATTAGGCTTAGACAATTGCAATTTATTCATAGGTTAGGTAAAAGCACTAGATTAGGATTTTCAAGTTATCAGGTCATCCATGAAAGCTTAATATAGAAGATATGATACATAATGAAATCAATAGCAGAGTCTGCTAAAATACGCACTGATCCATTTCAGTAGTGATATGCCATGATGAAATCATGACAAATTAACCATAAAACATAACCTCAATTTATTATAGTAACTTGAATTTGTCTTTAACATAGAAAGCATCCTAAACACTTCATAGAAGCTAAAACAGGGAAAAACAAAACGAATACTAAGCCAATGGTGCAGACGTTCAAAAGGGTTTGAAAGAAAGTTTGATCAGAGTGGCTAGTACGAAGTAGGACCCTTTCTATCATGAAACCGTAGAAAAATGGTACACGAAGGACACAATTTTTGAAATTAATTCAAAGTGCCCATCATTCCATAACCAACTGTCAAAGTCTTGTCAAAAAACATTTATTTTCAGTCATTGCAATTATAAATTACGTATGAATTTGTTTTAACAATGTGGAAACAGAGAGGCTGTACCAAAAATGTTGACATCATTCTACATTCATTTCTAAAGCAGAGCCGGTGAAATTAAAGTGACAGACTGGAAGATGTCAGACAGCACTGCTCCCCAAGGATCAGTGCTTGGAACACCTTGTCTGTGATTTGTGAAAATGATTTGGACATTGGAATAAAAACTGAAATTCCCAACTTGCTGATTATGCAAAACTTGGATGTGGGACAAACAGAGAGGATGATAAAAATTGACTGCAAGAGGACACTGATAAACCAACACAATAGGGAAACAAGATGGAATTTAAAACCAAAAGTTTGTTGGAGGCAATACAAACTAACTGGCACAGATCTAAGAAGTCCGCAGGAACCTAGGGGTTGAAACAGTACATGAAAAGATACTGGAAGGAAAATAAGAAAAGCATAGAGATCTTGGTTTCATAAATAGATGCATTGTGTACAAAAGCAGGGAAGTTTTTCTAAATTTTTGATGAGGTTTTGATTGCTGACAACAAGAATGTCATGGGATGGTGGTTAGATTATCTCCTATTGGTGATGGTCATAGCCTGACATTTGTGTGGCGCAAATTTTACTTGCCACTTATCAGCCCAAGCCTGGATACTGTCCAGATCTTGCTGCATTTGAACATGGGCTGCTTCAGTATCTGAGCAGTTGCAAATGGTGCTGAACATTGCACAATCATTGGCGAACATTCCCACGTCCGACGTTATGATTGAGGGAAGGTCAATGATGAAGTAGCTGAAGATGCTTGTGCCGAGGACACTACTGAAGATGACTGACCTCCAAGAACCACAACTATTTTCCTTCCTGTCAGGTATTACTCCAACCACCGGAGAGTGTACCCCCTGATACAAGTTTGCACAATTGCATTTGCTGACTGGCCAACAGAACAGTGATCTGGAATGTGGTATCCATGCATTCTTAATGGAAGAACTACATAACACCAAATATGGAGGATTCAGCACAGTTAGTACTGCATCATAAAATCCAAAAATATAAACAATACTTCCAACTAGATATGCAGCAAAATTGAAGAAAACAAAAAATGTTAGATGTAATTCCGTCTGTACGTCCAGAAAAGCACAAACTATGACAGTTATACTACTGACACACCATCTTGCTTTCTGACATTTGATCAGTATCCGACAATTCTGTTTTTGTTTCAGATATCAATTTTTACAGTCTCATTCTTTCAGTTTACTGATTTTGAGCTATATCTTTCAGTAAAACAATAGACAATTTCAATTCATGAGCATATTAAAATGTCATTTGCTTTAAAGCAGTCAAATTATCTAGTACCTTCTCTAAACTGGATGGCAATGTGCAACTGCATTATACAGATTATCATCAGCAATGTAGTGTAACTCTCATATGTTGTGCAAGTTATCTGTAACTTGCTGACAATTTCAACACATTGCCAGTCTGCTCAGTTAATTTATTACACTCTCCAAATATAAATTATACTCTTCTTTAAATTTTAACAAAGCTTGAGGGAAGTCTTTAAATTGAAAAGAAACAAAAAAAAGGTGCAGGTGTCAGCTGTATCTCACTTACATATTTACAGCTTTACATATTGAGTCATAATATAGTTCCTTCTTAGAAGAAGATTTGAGGAACTGCATAACAGAACTACCTCTGAAATATACATGATGTCAATATGTAATAGAGTGGTTGATGCAGATTCTTCAGGCTAATAGCTTTAAGACATGAAGCAAAAGCCTTTTTGGTGCACAAATTATAATTTGTAGATTTAATTCTAGAGCAAAGCCAATGGTTCAATATTTCTTGGTTGAAACATACAAATAAACATAGATAGTGAGAGTGACTTCGCTAAAATTGAAAGATAGCCAAATCTCTCTGACATGTAATGAAAAATCTGAGCCTCAAGAATTTATTAAAAGATACATCCACAAACTTAACAACAATAAAACTGACGGCAAGTCAAATTCAGAATACAGATTCCACGATCCGTTAGAAAATTGAACCTCAACATGGGAAATATAAATAAATGTTAAAAAAACTAAAATGCTGGAAGCTACTAAAACGGGAAAGATATTGAATAATTTATTCGACAGCAAAGACAGTAGGTGCTACTGTAGAAAACAATTTGAACAATTTTAGTGTGTAGCTGCAACGAGAGACAGTAACTGAAGCATTAGCAGAGGCACAGAATATAAATCAAGAGATAATATAAAGATTTTAGTTTGACCTTACCTGCATTACTCAACGGCACTAGTTACTTAAAAGACATTGTACTTGATAATGAGGAAACAGTGCAGTGAACTCAACTTGTATGCAAATACTGAAGTCAGAGTTGCTCTTGTTTAAAAAAGGGCGAGTTCAAGGCAGCCAGATAAAGTTGCCAAATTTGCTCATTGCATTGTTAGAAGTTGTTCTTGGCAAAATATAGTATTTTCAATGGCTAAAGTTTCAAAAATTAGGGGACAATGACTTCATGCAGGAGTACATTATCATGAATATGAGATATGTGAAATAGAGTTGAACACAACAACAATATAATAAACAGGAACAGGCTATTCAGACCTTTACATGGCAGAGTAGGGTTGAAGACTATCAGTCAGTTAAAAACAAAGGTAATGCAGCTAAATGCAATGGTTGAACAGTATAATCAAAAAGAATTAGGTGATTAAATCAAATGCCCATTTTTGAAATTTATTATGCCTCAATAAGCCTGTATTGATTTTTATTATGTCCTTTACTACATGACAGTTTTACAGTTTTTCATATCTCTCACAACCCTAAAAACCAAAAGGTTCAGGCCAGGAAGCTTGACTGACTGGCAAATACCCAGAAATTATTGGTTTTCTGTAATTTGTGGCCAACGATAGAACAATGGCCTCAACCGATAGCTGAGGGATTGTGCAGAAGGCTACTGATTACATGGTAATAATGTTGCAGTCTATGTCTGGATGCACTACACTGAAAATCAATGCAAGAAGTATGGGCTCCATGTGAAACAATGATAAAGTCAGGATTTTCAGGAAGACTCCACCAACATCACTTCCTTCCTCATAAACCATCAACAGAACTAGTGAAGTAAGAGTTACTTTATTAACAGTAGATGAATTTTACAAAATACAAATGGGCTGCTGTGGGTGACCTATAGGTAAATCAAGCCAGTCTGTTTTGTCTTTCGTAATTACTCTGAGGATAACATCAAATACCAAAGAACACGCTGCTTGTTAAAATTCTGCTTGCAGGGAAATCAAGAACTGAAACAGATTATAAAAGCAAAAACAAGTAAACAGCCAACAAACTAAAATTTAAAAATATGATTTTCCACTTTATGGGATGAGAATTTTAAAATTGAAAAGATGCTCACATGCCGAGGTTTCATGGTATTCTGCCGCTGCGGACGCTGAAGTCGTTTGTCGTTTACAGATGTAGGAAGAATCTGTAAGTGCGGCCTAAACTGGTGTGGTGCGTTAGGAATGATCGGTTGAGGGGAACAGTTATGCTGATGTTGAGGCAGTGGCTGCAGTTGCAAGGGTGGCTGAAAGGTCAAAATAATAAAGAGGTTGAGATTTCAATACTAGGAAATGACAATCTGTGCTGTGTGAGAAATATGCTCTCATAAAAAAGTACTTCAGCGCAAGTGTAACATATCTGCAATGAAACAGCTCAGGGAAAACCAATGGTTGTACTCAGATATGGACATGAATGGCCGCACAGCAACACTGGATGCACTGCTTAGTACAACAAACGCATTATACAAGCAAGAATAATCAAAGAACATACGATATATATGCGAGTAAAAGTTGATCACATGTAGAAATCAACTCTCTATTTTTGGCCAAAAAATCTTGAATTTTCCAGATATCTTATGTAAAAGTCGGCCCTAGTTCTTCACAGATAATTCGGATGTTAAGGCAAATTCTGGATTGTATTCGTTCTCATCTGTCAAAAAACCTTCCCAAAATGTACCTTCACTCCGATAATGGGAATAAAAATTGGATTCAGCATTTTAATTTTCAAACAGTAATATGTTAGTGACCTGCAGGTGGAGATAAAGTGCTACCATCTTATCTCCCAGGTTTGGTAGCATTTTGTTTTTGACTCCAGGACACTATAGCATTTTAACAGCAGATTTCTTTTCATCAGTTTTCGTTCCTTTGACAGAGCTTCAAAAGAATGAACACAGTAATTCAGAGAGCTCAGATCCACTGACTTACTGTTTCACTGAGGGTGACAGAGCGCTTTTGGACATGGGAGCAAATGGAAAAGATTCAGGGTTACTTTATGAAAGAATAATCAGGTTTTAATTTATAGGGAGGTAATTGATCTTTTTGTTCTTATCTGTTGACAATAAGTGAACACTCATGTTGTGATGCCACGAGAGATCAGGTCTCTCATAGCCATATTCATTTTTCATGGTGCTGGATCACAGAAGTAGCAGTAATTACCGTAATTCATTTTTTTCTTAATTTGTTTAGAGATTAATTGAGCTTCTGCTAATGATATGGTATTTTGGACTGTAGCATGAATTTCAGTCCCTCAAAAGTAGTATCCAAGTAATTGTCAACCTCAAATTTAATCTTAAAAAATAGTCTAAAAAATTCAACTTTTGCACGAGTATATACAGTATTTCTCCAAGATGTAACAAAATTAATGCATACATTACTCTTGTAACATCTTAGTTTGTTTTGTTTTCAGTAATTACTATCCCTTCAACTACATTTTCCAAACAAACGGTTTCTTGCCCTAATTTCATCAAAAGTCTAATCATAAATCTCACGATGTTTCTTTCACTTCCTTTCTCTCCTCACCAAATAGTTATTCCACATCAACTATGAGCCATTAGTTTCTTTTTAAATTTACTCTTGCACATGGAGTTGTTGCATGATTTATGGTTACAAATGTGAAATGCTTAATATCACAACTAAATGCTAGTTGAAACTGTGTTTGAATAGGCAAATTTCATTCAGTGAAACTATGTACCTTCACTGCAGCAATGACCAGTAACTAACATATCCACATTTTCAGAAATCTCATCTACAACAGTTACCCCATATCTAGGTCATCGCTAAATTTAAAAAGCCCATATGTTACTGCTGGTGACATTCAAATGACTGAATACTTCAGTTAATTTTTAGCTTAACATGTTTTTAGTTTGTTCAAAAAAGGCGTTTACATAATTTCAGAATTCAATAAAGTCTTTTCACTGAATATAACGTAATATAAACTATTTCACACTTTCTCGCATTATTTCAGTGTGTTACTCAAAACATCGGATAATTCAATTTTTAAAACTCAAAGAAGCTTCCGTGTCAGCGGGGACAACTTATTTATCATTTAGGCAGCAGAGGGCGCCCCTATCTTCAATTACACACACTGGGCATTTTTATACTAAATATTAATTTTATATTCAATACAAATCCAAATACAGATTACATTTTGAAGTACACGATAAAGGGGCCATATTGTCATTTAGTGGAACGCCTATCACTGAGTAAAATGTGTACTTTGGTAATGCCAATAACTACAAATAGCCAAAAAAATGCTAGGAACAGAAAAAGCACTTGCTTTTCATTGTTTTGGTAATAAATTATATGTTGCAAGTATCATCTTGCATATGAAGCTGTTGCATAAGCACATAACATCATTCCTTTTTGTCATGAGGCGACCACAAATCTTTCAGAAATGCTTACAGTACTCTTGCTAACCACAGTTGTTACAGCTAAACTTAGGTTCTCATTATTCTAGTTATTCATGGACTAAGCAAGCTTTTCTTTTACCTGCAGATTTTGTTGAATATGGGGTGATGGTGGAAATGGTTGTCCAGGACCTTGTGGAAATTGCTGTCTTGGAGGAATGAATGGTCTGGGATTCAATGGACCAGGTTGGTTAAAGGGAGACATTCCCATATGACCCTGTGGTTGAAGACTAGTTCTTATTGGAGCCTCCCTTGGAAATATATGATGCTGTCCCTGCTGGTTGAAACCTGGGCCTGGATGGCTGTACACCATGGGAGGTTGCAAAGACATAGTATGGTTGTTCATAAGTGGGGGTGGAGGACTTCCTTGTTCAAACATATGTTGTCCTTGGAACCTTGGCTCTGTGAATTCAAATATATATTAATGTGATTTGAACTATGTTATATTAACATTTCTTCAAACATTATGAACTAACTCCTTCACTATGAAACCTTTAAGTATTGCAAAATGCATAATAAAGTTGAACCTTTAAGACTTGAAACTTTTAAAATTGTTCATCACTTGCTTTATTTGTAACACACATTTTCCACAACTCCAACTACTTTTCAATTGATGATTTTGGCATTTACAAAAAACAATCCTATGTTTCTTACCACCAATGAAGAAAGGTTCTCTCTCTTGAGGGTGTGGACCTCTCCATGGCTCCTGAAGAGGAAGCCTGGGTGGCTGATTAAAGTTAGCCGGGACAGGAATAGGTGGTTGAAATTCTGGAGGGCTCTGATAACAAAATGACATAATAATCAGAAGGTTGTACTGAGTGTCTTCTTGCACACTATAGGATCTGAATCCTTGTCAATCATTTTCTTACATTCATCAGGACACCTAGCATCTAATAAGTCATATATTAGTCCTAAACATTATTAGCACACACCAAGCTATGAGCATCATGCATCACTAGACTATGATTTTTAATTTCTAAAGGATTCAGTACAATCATCAGGTTTTGTCAAACCAAAATACCAAATTTCCACAGTCTCAATTCCTCATTAATCTGTTTCTCTTAGTCGAAATCCATTAACTTCTAATGTTTTTAATAAGCATAAAACAACAAAATCCGATGGGTAAACAATACAGAGAATGAGCAGTGGGTTAATTATTCAAACAGTTTGTGCGTCAATTTTCTTGGCTCTGTCCCTTCTACAGCAGCAAACTGTGTCATCAGTTTGTTATACATTGTGAACAGCTTATAATGCATTGCATTCTCAAGCAAAGAAACACACTTTTTGTCACCCATTGAAAGAAAATAAGTATGATAAGGCTGTTCTAATCCTTTTGCAGAATAAGACGACACTTAGCTTTCTCATTTTGTTCTCTCATGTACTCTTCCCAGTTAAGAAATTAACTCCCTTTGGCACATGATCCTTACACAAATTGTGCTTTTGCTTTTCCACCGTGTGCTAATTATATGATGTTATCAATGGTAATCCATCTTTTCATATGGAATGATGGCACTTGCTTACAATGATAAAACAGCTAAAAACTTCACATAAGGTGCTCAACAAAAAGTTAATCAACTACTGAAAGAAGGAGCCACTAACCGAGAAGATCAAATGGCTATTGTGCCACTTATCAGTTTTCTCAATAGCTTCAGCTATAGTCACAAAAACCTTTAATTAAATACCTTAACAACATTGTTGAAATCTTATGAATTGTTCAACAAATTAATAGTGTCCATCTTCAAGGCAGGCATTTATTATTAATCCTACTTAAAATGTAAAATCGTTATACGTGAAAATAAATTTGATATTGTGGGTGAGCATAAGTTAATTCAACTGGCTGTCACTGACTGCAGAAAAAAAGGCAAACCTAAGTAAATTAAATACTGTTATACAGCCTGCATTACTATTACAATACACAGTGAAGGATCTTCAGTTACAGGATATAGATCCCCTTATCTTCCAGACCAGAAGTGACAGTATCAAGCGCTTGTGAGGAAAAAAAGATGTCATGAATAAACCTGTACGCCTATCTCTTTACATTCACAGAGGCTACGTACACTGAAGTGGTTATTAACCCCAGACATATCCCTCAGGCATACATATTTTTGTTCTTAAGTACAGCCACATCATATTTTAGAAGTGTATAAATACAGGATGTTTTAGATCTTTATTTAATGTCCACACTTGCCAAATAAAGTGTTAACTATAACCATTGCTTTCTAAATGCTAATGTTAACTGTACTTCATTTACAATAACTGCAAAGCCTACTGAGGCTCAACACATGACAGTTCATTAGAACAGCTGTAAACCTGAAATTTAAGAATTAACCTACAATTTAAATAACCTTCACACTAGAATAATTTTCTATCCAAACTAATCTAGCTTTAAGATGAGTTAATGAGAGCAAAGATTTGGAAACAACAATTGTAAAATTTCACTCTATATCCAGCATCTCAGGTGTGCATCTTCATTTTAATAATCCAATTGCATACACATCGCAAATGCTAAAAGATACAAATAAAAATAGGAATATGGAACATTAGCCTTAACTACCATCTGAAGCTCTACATTCACTAAGCTGCATTTTCAAAGAAGTTTGAAGTTTTTTAAGCTGCTCTCCTAGCTTATAGTGAATTCAATATACAAGACGAAATTCTACAATAAAAATTAAACTTTAGTATACTCACTATTCATGACAGTTTTACTGATGTTAATTGTCTCTTTCAAGAGAGCAAGTAGCAGATTTTTCAATAGAAAAGAGATCAAGAAGTGGGCAGACATAAGACAACTTGATGTACAAAATTAATTCTTTTTGGACGAAACAACGTGGAAAGGTAAGTTAAATGGAAAACTTCGAAGATGATGCAGGAACTGAAGAGGCTTGAAAGTTAAAGCATAGAAATGGGAGAAATTGACTGGACAAGTTGATGAAGGCATTATTGAAATATGCAGATTCCTTGGTTTTATATACAAGAATATTATACACAATCTTCATAAATTCCTTGTTCAGTCTTAGATGGTGTACTGCACTCAACTCTGGTGCTATGTTTTAGGAAAATAGTCAAAACCTTGGAGAGGAAGCAGACTGAGATTTATTATACTGGTACCAGGGCTGAGAATTTAATTGTGAAGTAGAGGAACTGTTTTTTTCACCTTAGAGGAGAGAAGGCGAGAGGGAGTTTTAATACAGATGTTCAAATTTACGATGGTTTTTACTAAAGTAAATAGGTAAATTAAAAATACTGGGAAGAGAACCAGAATGGAGATAAGATTTTATTTTAATGCAGTGAGTTGTGATCTGAAGTGCACTGGGTGGTGGCAGAAAATTCAATAGCAATTTTCAACAGGCAGTTGGACATGTATGTGAAAGGGAAATATTTGCAGGGTTATGGAATAGGGGAGGGACTGAACAATTGGATATCTACTGCCAAGAGCCTGCACAGGCACAA